CAGGGAGAAGGCAGCAGTCAGAAACAAGTATGAAACATTCAGCCTCACCTAGCTCCCCTCAAGCTCTGAAATTCTTTCCATTGCTCGCGGTCAGCAGCTACATGGAACTGTTTGGGAGTGGGCTCCACAGCTTTCACTGAAACCAAAATCCAGCTGTTCCTTGCTAGGACATCCAGGAGGAACCTTCCACACCAGGGCAGTCACATGAAGTATCTTAAAAACAAAATCTAGCAAAAAATAGAAGGGTTATTAGCTAGTCAAAAGCAGCTCTTGCAGAAAATCCTAATTACACAAAACACTTATGGCACATCCTAAGACTATTGCCTTTGACATGCAGGACGAGCATCATCTTCCCGGCTCAATGCTCTTCTCTTTGGGCGTGCTCTTCACACGAGGAGGGTGTTGCATTACCTTCTGGTCCACTCTGTTACTTTTCATGGAAGTACGTGACCAAACTCAAAACAAGTTTTGCAAATCTCACCGTAAAACTCACCTCTGATCACAAACCTTGCCATCAGTACAAGGAATATAGTGATACAAGTATGTAATCCTACCAAGGGTTTAATTGCTGGATTTGCTACTACTACAAGCACGTCTGTCACTTTCCTGCAGATGCTCAGACTCCAGATTACAGGCTCCAGGAATGTCTTCTGGATTCCACAAATTTCCTTTCAAAAACAAAAAGCAACCCCCAGATACACCTCAAACACTCATAAGACAGACAAGAGATTGATGTGATAAAGCTTAGGAAGTTTTGAAGAAAACTTCCACTAGTGGCTGGTGGTCTTTGCTCTGAAGACCTAGTACCTAGTTAACATACTCAAAGCAAAAGCAAGGGTGTATGGTGTTTACCGTAGCTAGTTGAGACAGATTTGAAAGCAAAAGACAGTAAGGAAACACGGCTGAAACTCAGAATAAGAGCACTGAGTCTGAAACTGATGAATTGTGTAGACAGGATCAATTCAGTCTCAACTCTTGAAATGGCTATTTAGTGGATTATGTAGGTGTGAACAAGTTGAACCAAACATGAGAAATTTTTTTATGTATTTTTAATTAATTTTCACAGTTTAGCTATGAAAACCTAGTATTCCACAGAAAAGCAAGCCACCAAAATTTATGTTCTTAAGAGTTTCCACTTAAAATCTGGAAGGAAAAAAAAAAACCTTTTCATAATTTCTGTAGGAGAAGTCATTATTTCTCAACTCATTCTTAATTTTAAGCAAGTTCTTAACCTTGTTAAGGGGCACAACAGCTAGTTATAATGTTAGAAACAACTCATTCTGCCCTAAATCTCACCACCACTGAAAAGAAACCAGGTCGTCAAAAATTGCGAATATAATTACTACAAAGTTTTTTTCGGTAGTGTAGCACACCACATTCAAGTTGTAGCTTACACATGTGAGAACTGTAGCCTTCAGAAATAAGAGAAAGATCTGCTTGGTAGTGAAAATATAATTTTATTTTTAACAATAGCTGCCAGCAGTATACTGGTATATCTGTAAAAGATGTTCCAAAGAGTGAAAGACATAAGCAAACTACAATAAATTGTATCAACTCTTCAAGTATTTCTACAAACAATGCTCCAATTCTTGATGTCCTGTCTTGGGAGTCTTGATATCCTGTTCTGCTCCACTATTCTCCCATCCCTCCCACTCCCTCCAGAAACAAAATGTAATAGTTGGTGGCACAAGTTCTGAGGCAGATTAAATATTTTTCACTTGGGATAAAGCCTTCGTCTAAAAAATATTAATTGGATGTGCTCAGATAGTACTCTGAGTGGCAAAGAGTAAAAAAAAAAAAAGTTGACTGTACTTCGCCACTTTTTGTTCTACATTGAGATAGGCATCAGTGGGTTTGGCTCAAGCATCTTCAATTTATTCATGTCTGTGTTCCTTTGATACGAAATGCTAATTTGCTACTTTAGCATAAAAACTTGATTACATCTCTCTTCTTATCATGGAACTGCAACTCTCAATCAGTTTAGACATGCCCATTGCGGAAAAAACATCAATTTTATGGGAAAATGCAAACGTACGAGCTACATGGCTGTGACTGTCCGTGTGGGACATTTACGCAAACCAGCAGTGAACAGTGGATGGACAGGAAAGCTCTGGAGCGCATGAAATCATTTCAGAAGTTCACATGCCTCCTGTTCAACAGGCAGCTCTTACACATAAGGATCTCTTCAAGAAGGAAAGCTTTGTTAAAGGGGGGAAAAAAAAAAAAATCATGCGTATACTATTATCTGTTCTCCCACACAAAACCAGGGTGAAGATGATGGATTTTCCCTTTATGTTCAGGAAATACATAAGTCACCTGTTTTAATGGGAATTTAAGCATATTTCAGCTTGAGAATAAAGTAAGTTATTCAGCATGCTAATACATGCAACCAACTTGCAAACTGGAATGCCTACTTGAAAGGGTAACTGCTGTTTTTAAATTGTAGAAGGGGCTAGAAGCATCATTTTAAATTTAAACAGGGGGTAGATTAATTGCTGTTTGATGAAATTAAAAATGCATTCAAAGATCAGATTGTAAACAAGTTGACAGAAGTCAAGAATTTACATAGTTATGAAAGGGCTTTTTTAATTAATGTAGCGCTGGTGATTGGGGCCAGATGAAAGTGCTCTACCCACACCAGACGTTAAGCCTTTTACACACCACCCTAGCTACACTCTGCTCTTCTGAATGGATCACCTCCAGAGGTGAAAGCTGCTGGCTCTCCATTAGACTCCTGGCCTCTGCTGAAGCCAGCAAGAGCCTGGCCAGCTCCTGCCACAACACAACAAAATAGGAAGCCTAAAAGATACCAACTCCTTTCACACAGGACAGTTAACAGCTATCATACGGTAACCACCTTAGAAATTGCTAACCTGGTCCTCATTTGAATTATACCTATAAGGGAAAGGCTCCGACGCTCAATACTCCATTGTACTGAGATAAGAAATCCATTAGTTACAGCAAGAGCTTTAACTTTGTTTACAAGCTTTCAGACCCAATCATTAAAATACTTAATGCTGAATATAATGTATCACAATTGTTTGAAGATTGCCTAAAAAGAAGAGAGAATATATTATCTATAAAAGACAAGAAGCCTGGTATTTTAACAAGTGAAGTATTTGTGTGCATTGATATGCAGGCAGCATGCACTAGAAAACTGCATGAAAGTGTTTTCATGCTCTTATGCATGTAGTTGCCTGGTGTACTGAAGTGTGCACGCATTGGCTAATTTGCTTTTAAAAGAAGGAGCACGGCCCAATTGCTACAACCTCAGACAACTTCCAAGGGCCATCCTGATCTAGGTTATAAAGCAGAGTTAAAAATTTAACAAAGCTATGCCCACAATCACATTGCTTCCTATACTTTTGTTTTTAAAGGTTAACTATACGATGGCAAAGAGCACCAAACCAATGAGGGTTGTTGGGTTTTTACCCTGTGTCATTAAAAATGTTGATCTCTAACAAAAAAGGAAGTCATTCCTTTTTCTAGACGTCACGTTGTAGCAAAGACTGAATCCCTACAGAGGATTATTATGGCTGAGAAACTTTATTCAGGATGAGAATGTGATATTAGAATACAGTAATTATTAAAAGGCTACAGTTAAGTTTTTCCTAACCAGGTCGCTCTGCAGAATTTTCTTTCTGTCCCTAAACACCTCTGTAATAAATCATAATAGGGTCTAAGTGTATCTATGGTTGTCTTCGAAAGACATGTAACAGGATTGCTAACTGCCTTTATATTGGAATTCTAGCTCTAGGAAGGCAAGACAAGGCACCACAAGCCATGTATACAAATATGGATTTTTTTACTCTACTGCTTCTATGTCAAACTAACTTCATGGGTATATAAAGTAGCAAAAGCAGGATGCTTAGAAAAGTCAGGCTGGTTTTCATAAAGCCAGTGCTTACCAAAAAAATTAGTATATAAAAGTGTTTATGTGAGCATTTCCATGTTATTGCAGAATGTTAAATATTCCAAGAACAACCTATCAGGAATAGCACTTTCCAGCTTCTAAAATCAGTTAAATAGAAAAGTATCTTTACAAAAAAAATAGGTATATAAGTCTAGCATTCTTTGGAGTTGTTTATGATGGTCTTTTAAAAATAACCTAGCGGTTTACTTCATGCATCAAAGTCATTAATTTTAAACAAGAAAACTATTCCCTGGTTTAGAAATATTTGAAAATTGCTTTTAAAAAAATTGTAGTGCTATTCCTCAGTGTTGCTGTAAAAACATTATGTATAGTAGTGCAATGATTATGATCATGCAAAATTGCAGTCCTGGTGCACAGACAAGCAATTAGGATAAATTTAATGTAAAGGATGGGATTTCACACACCATTTCTTTACGAGAGTAATTAATAGATTTCCTTTCAGGAAAAAATGCATACTATAATTTAAGGCAAATGTTAAAGGTCACTTTAGCTTTCTTCAGGAAAGAAATAGCTTAAAAAAGTTCCCCAAAAGACTCCCACTTCAACAACTATCAGTGTCAGTCTTGCATCACTAATCATTGCACTGCTATTCACCATATTCAGTAGCTATTTATCAACTAGGACACTAATGTTTACATGTACTTTTTTTACGAGAGCACAGATTTTGTAAGTAAATATCACCAGAAAGACCTATACAAAATAAAGGCTCTTAACTACCAAAAAGAAAGCCACTTGCGATTTTTAAGGTGAACAGATGGCAAGCATCCAATTCTTCTGGTTTCACGATGGTAAAGAGCATCCTGACAATTATTTGTTTGCTGCAACTCAGAATTTGGGACAAGTGTAGGTTGTTGCCAATTTAAAAAAAAAAAAAAAAAAAAGGTTTTTTTTGATCTCGTCAAGCTCTTGAAGACACAACTAAATACTAACTCTGAACTGCGAGCTTCCTGCTACAGCGCTCAAGGCTAGATTCAAACTTCCCTGATGTCTGAGGTCATTCAAATCCAAGTTTCACATCTGAGTTCATTCTCAACCGTTACTGTGATTTCAAATCCAAGAGAATATTTTTTAAAAAAAATTGTTGCCAAATATTCTGCAAATGGCTCTTTTGGATAATAAGTTCCCTTACATATAGATGTAAGTAGGATAGACAAGCAGGTACAGTTCAACATGTGACAGATACGACAACTGTGTGTAGATCTTCTGTAAAAGCAATAAATTCCAAAATACATAAATATTCCTTGTACCATATAGCAAGACAGTATCCTAAACCAATTCGTAGACAGGGACCAAATGTTCGCAAAGAAAAGTAATAGGGGCAAGATAACCCTTTGTACTGAAAGAATCTAGTTACCCCAGTGCAATATTAACATAACTGCATTAATGATATTCAAACTTGCTGTGAAAGGAGGTAAGGAAAAACAAGCCTATAATTAAGTCTGCAAACTTTAGGTAATTACTGTACCTGGTCTATCCACCATAACTTTGAATAACTGCAAGTTCATGCAAAAAAAAATTGCTATCTTATATGAAAAGAGCAGTCTGTTAGAAGCATTGTTATGGAATATGCAAGAAGTCATTTCTTTTGCAAGTGCTGTTTACTTAGTGAGTCTCTTGGCTACATCACTGTAAGCTATTTCAATTTCTTTGTCTCCAGGACAGGTATTGGTGAATTCATCTCTGCTGTAAGCATTCGTCAGGTATCTCCAAATCCCTGTCATTTCCTTGGGAATCTCAAAGTTGCGGTATTTTTTGGCCACCACCTAGAACAAAAGAATTAGATTATGAATTTACATCGTTCAACGTAAGCCACGCTCGCATCCCTTGTCACTCTCTTGTTAAGCTATCCGGCCAACACAGAGTCACTTCTACAGTCTGTAGAACCTGCCCCTCTGGGATGTGCCTGGACCTGGCAGCATACTGCCTCGCTTGGTTTGTACTACTGTCCTCAAAGTAAATACTTCTGCACCCAGGCAGAAACTTAATCTGTGGCTCCATCTGCAGTACAAAACTGACAAAGATCACCGGAGACAGTGAAAAGAAATCAAACCACGACGGTTTAATATATATATATTTGATGTATAGGCACATCCTCACTCCTGTAGTTATCCAAGGCTACCTCTTTCTAGACTTCAGACTTTTTTTTTTTTTTAATACAATCCTTGCATTAAACATTGTCTCATTTACTTTGTTGCTTAGAGCAGTTTTCTCTACAGATGTGAGAAGACATCCATTTCAAAAATTTACTGGTTACATGATGTTCATTTTCCTTCTTCCACCTCATTCTTTTAAGCCTTGCAACTTCCTGTGACCACATGGGTCAGTGTTTTGTGCCACTTCATCACCTGCCACCCAGCTTGTCTACTGGTTCACACCTCCGCTGATTTCAACTGTTCTGTCCCTAAAGCCCTTGTGAATTACATAAATCTTACGCAATTTCATGTACTGTTAATACTGTAGTTAAACTTACATGGGAGCTTACACATGGTTGAAATGAGTTGGACTCCAGAATGTCATAAACCGTAAGCGTTTTGTCCTTCAATATCACATAACATACAAGTCCTTTACCTTGACAATGTGTAGTTTGGGTAGCAGGTTGCAGTCTGCTAATGTCATCTCATTGCCATCCAAAAACTTGCGAGTAGAAACCATAATATCCTCCATGCTATTTTCATCTATCTCATCAGGAAGAGGAGAGTTCAGATACTCATCCAGTTTCTGGAGGGTTTTCAAGAGGCCACGTTCTAAGGCTACAGAAGGAACAGTTTTAAGAACAAAAAAGAAAGCCAAACCACAGCACACAAATTTCAAAGCAAATTATCAGTTAGAATATTGGTATTAGTAGCAGATCTGAAAAAACATAATCCACATCACTGTACTACCCAGAACAGAACATATGCTGGAAGATTTTTAACCCTCGTTCAATTTTTATGGCAACACTCCTGCTGGGAGCTGCCTTCGTGGTCACTTGTAACACTGAAACTGAACTAGAATCCCTTTAAATATCACACAGATGCAGGTTATTTAAAAGCTGGTTTATTATATTTATTAGTAGTTTGCACTAATTTAAAATAGAACTGTACACAAATGTTTATTTTTGGTTTAAAAAGTGGCTTATGTCAGTTTCTTAAGACTACTCCTAACTAGCTTACACTAATTAGAATTAAGCTATTATATTCATTTAAATGTAATCTGTTTAATGTCACATGCTCAGCTAACAGCCACAACAGACCGCCGAGGAGGTTTGTTGAACACAGCAGCAGAGGGCAGCACGCCCCACAGAATGGAAAAGTATTTCTCAGCTGTTTGTAAGTATTTTGCATCTCTCCATTTGAAAGACAGCAGAAAGACATTCTGATTCCCTGACTCAAGTTTTACCTCCAAGAACATTGAGGACAAAAGATTTGTACTAAACTATTTAAAGGTCTAATTGTGCATTCTTTCTCTTATTTATCTCTCATCTTCTCTCCACACAGAAAGGTCTTAATCCTTTAAATAAAGTGACAAACTAAGCTTAACTCAGACCTCTGAATGGGAGCCCTCCATCCTAGAAAGGTCAAATAATCAAGGATGCAGAAAGGCCTCACAGCAAACACATGGAAACTCATCCAGTGGGGCGTGACAGACACTCCACACAAAATGTGGTTCTGGAGTTTAAAATCATTTCTACTGAGTTCAAGAGTTTGGAATGACTGTTGTGTAGAGAAGTTTCAATGCCACGGATATTTACAAACCACGCATACCCTACTGTAAGTGCTAATTGAACACTGTCTAATTGAAATTCTCTTTGGAAGTGTTGAAATCTGTCTCTGACCACTAACTTTAAACCACAGGTTTTAATTCATGAGACTCAAGTGTCCATCAACATGCAGCAAAATTTGTCAGTGAGACACTTCACAATAAAGCTGCTCTGCAAAACACAAGACAATGAAATGATGTGTGCACAGCTACCGGCCCCCAAGGAACCTACCTTCATTAGCTTCTGGTCTAGAATTTTTGATAAATGCAGAAAATTTGGCAAATATATCCATTCCAGCAGTGTTTGATTCTGGATGCTTTGGTGAAAGTTTTAGGTACCTAAAAAGTAGAAAGGAGTAGATCTACAGCACATTTAGCAGAATGATGCTCATCATATATTAACTAGCACAAAATGGCCCTTTTAAAAAACAAAAAAAAAAAAGATTCTACATCATGTACATTTCCCAATTTATCCACTTTCAGATTAATGTGGAGGATTTGCTTAAGTGCAATACCACACACTTCCATTTAAGTTAAGATTTTTAAACCCAACATTTTTAATCACTTTTCAGAGGAATACCAAAGCACATATCTCTGCTTTCTGAATTGGGCATTTGTTTCAAGCACAGAATGTCTGACACAGCCCAGGGTCACCAGAGCAAGCTCCCTCACACAGCAGTGCTGCCAAGGGGGCAGGTCACAGTTCTGTAAACGAGAATATAGTTAGGGATCGAACAGCTAACAAATTAAATACTCTTGCCCATTCTCTGCTCACTGGACATTTTTTATTTTTTTCATTTAAATTAATATCAGCTGTCCCAGAATAAGATGGACTCCAAATCTTTTAACAAAAAAGTAAAGTCTTGCCACACTAAAAAGACAAAACAGCTCAGTCTGCTAAAGGCAGTGTCTGCATTTTACCACTGCCTGCCAGTTGAGGGAGAAGAAAGCCAACAGTTTAGAGAAAACTTGAACACATTTCTCGTATTTGTGCTGTGTAATCTAATTATTTTTAAAAGTGTTCAGTAATTTCCACCATAATTTCCAAATACTAAATAATCAATCTCCAGGACTCATCTTACACCTGGTATGAAGGAATTAATTTTTAAAAAAATAATTTTTAAGTTGCATTTAGTAATCACTGACACTATACAATTATCAACTGTCCATCTGCTTATAGAAAGCTGGAAGGAATAATGAAAATAATTTAACATTAAATACAAAGTTCACTGATATTCCTGGTGAGAACAAGAAATTACAAATTCTTGAAGACTTAAATAACACCTTACTTCTAGAAGAATGACTGCAAATACAAGTCTCCAAAAGGAGACCACTCATCTCCTTAAAACAGATTCCCTCAATAGTTTATTACAGAGTCAAGACTAAGTTTTGTATACCAAGCTTATCTTCATTTACATTATTTGGACACATCATCAGAATGGCCTGGCCCAATCACCAAAAGGAAAAATCAGGAAGAATGACAGGATTGTGCAAAGGACAATTTAAAAATAATCTTTAAAATAAAACATTTTTATGTTTTTAATATAAAGATGAGGGAGCTGGAGGGAAGAAAGGTACAACAAGCAAGAACTCCAAGCTATTTTCAATGTCTCATCCTCAGTTTATTGATGTCACGTCAATAACATCTTAGTTAGTGCAGAAACCCCCTTTGAGAACACTCCATCTAACCTAAGGTGACAAATTATCATTTTAACACCTACTTGGGTGGAGCCAAAACATCTTCCAGGAACTCTTCAATCTTATTCACATCTGTTTTCACTTCACCATTGTAAGTTATGAAGGGCGGATGAGTGCCTGGAGCCAAATTTTGAAGGTCTGCTGGTTTTCTAGGGTGAAATACAAACCAATAGAAAAGTAAGCATGGGACATCCGTGACCCTGACTTTCTTTGCTACAGTCACAAAAGTACTGCCTGAGGTTTTCACGTTCTTGCAGTTTTAAAAAGATATCACCAGTTTTCTTTTTAAAAAGTGAGTTTACAGCTTGATTAGCATTTTGAATATATACTTGATAACAATTAATTTCAACTACTTAAAAACAACTGCTTCCCCCTACCTCTGGCTATGTTTTTTCTCAAGTCAATATAATGTTGACTAGCAGAGGGGATATACATACACCACACAAACACTCTCTTTCCCAAGATCTGCAGTACAGGGTTTATATATAGCGTAATCTGTGATCAGCAATAATCCTCCCCCTTTACACAGAGCTTCTCCAGAAATAAGCAAGTCTGAGATAGAGCAGTGTGTATAAACCATTTATTATGTGCACACAGAATCTGGTTCTGGACAAGTTAACAAATATTTAAAAATCATGTTTTAAAACAATGCTTCCTCCAGTAAAAAAACTATTTACAAATAAGAGCAGCACACTTGGGCAAAGGGAGGAGAATCCCCGACCTTAGTATGATGAGACACTGGAGAAACAGCATCAAGCTAAAATACTCAGACATTTCTAAATCTTAAGTCAGTTTTGGCAATACCTCTCGCTGTTCACTCCAGCTCCTTTCATACTAATCCTTATCAAGCTAAGCCAGTTTATTTTATAAGCAATAGGCTTCTCTCTCCTCTAGTTGTGCCTTGATGCTGTAGTAACAAGGAACACCACTTGCAGGCGTTTCTTTAGAAGCCTATATGTCAGCTGCACATATACACCTACCCACTCATTCATCCCAAAATGCCTAACTTACTCTTTAATGCAAAGCTCTCACCTCTGCCTCATCAGCAGATTCAGATGCCAAGCTGAAGTCCATAATGAGATGTGGATCCATTACAAGCTATAAAATCCAAAGCATCATCTAAAAAGCTGCAGCCAGTTTTTCCCCAGTAAATCATCATGGTATTAGTTAGTCCCATGCTAGTGCAACTGTCTCAGTGCAAGCAGAAATAAAATTACAGTACTGCTTGGCGCTTCTTCAGTAGCAGCACTTAAAAATTCCCTCTGATGAAGCTACTGACTACAGTCCAGGATGACTGTTCAGAAGGACGCAGTCTAACTTCTCCAAGACCCTCTCCACATTTTAGAGGACAGTCTGCAACTCCTAGTTCCTCAGAGCATCCCGGTGCACTAACATCCGACAGTACACACGATCCAGATGACGCATGACTGTACAATTACATTTCTGTCAAGCTGACCAGAGCACACGCTACAGGATGACCACCACCTTTTGACAGCATTATGCTGGACGAGGATCAACAAACGATACCTGATCCAGCAGAAAGTTTGCCAAGACAAAGTTGCCCCTTCATTACTGTTTGAACAAATCCAAACCGGACCCTAACCCTTGAACTGGATTTGTGCTTTGCGCAACGTGGCCGCATTTCTGAGCCAGCACCAGGCATCCAGGAACTGGATTTACTGGATACTGGAACTACAGTTCAAGAAAGGCTCCTGACTGTACTGGAGAGGGAAACTAGATTAGTAATATACACAAACATTCAGAAAGCAGTGTCTTCAGGGATAGCACGCAGACTTATAAGCACAGTTTACACGTTCGTCCTGTGGAAATGTTGCTTTCCATTTCTTACAAAATTAAAAACCCCTGCCAGAATTTC